TGTTTGTAAAATGATTGAAGTGTTTCTGTAGTTTAGCTGTTTGTAAAATGATTGAAGTGGTACTGTAGTTTAGTTGTTTGTAAAATAGATTGAAGTGGTACTGTAGTTTAGCTGTTTATAAAATGATTGAAATGGTACTGGTTGATGTTATATTATAGCGATTTTACGTTGTGTGGCTTGGCTGATGTTATATTATAGTGATTTTACTTTGTGTGGCTTGGCTGATGTTATATTATAGTGATTTTACGTTGTGGGACTTGACTGATGTTATCGCGATTTTACGTTGTGGGGCTTGGCTGATGTTATAGAGATTTTACGTTGTGGGGTTTGGCTGATATTATATTATAGCCATTTGTACTTCAATGTGTTTATTTTCTCGTACGTGAACTAGTTATTGTCATGCTCGAGAGTTCATGATTCGTTACCCATTTTTACAAAGAAAAAAAAAAACGAAAATCCGCCCCTTGGGACCATTGGTGATAATGAAATCTCGCTGTTCGATCAAAAAACGTTGACGGTGAATGCTGTTGACCAGCTGCCTTCCCCCTAGTTTATCAGTTCAAAATTACAGACGGTAATGCACAAATAAACCACTGTGTATCTTTTGTTGAAAGTTGTGAAAAATAAATACATAAACGTCTTATTATTTATAGTACTGTGAATAATGAATATAAATAACATATTTCAATACAAACTATAACGAACACATACTGTTGTATACAGTTGACGTGTTTAGATATAATTGGTTTGGTGAATTGTGTAATAATGCATTTTTTTGTCTTTCTTTCTGTCGGTCTACGTTTCTATTCTTTTATTTGTGTATTTAACATTGTTTACCAAGTTGCCTCAACTTTCATTATGCTGTCAAAGAAGACAAAGAATCAGTTGAAATATTTTGGCTGAGAGATTTTATGAGGCTTCGTATACGAATACGTTATTATTGAACTTATGCGTGAAGCAGTCAACCACGCATGTTAGAAAGTATAAAATAAAATAAACTCCTAGCATTGAAGAAGCACAATAGGTTGTGAATAGCTCTCAGAAGAAAGTCGAGGAAAAATGGTAGGTACAGATCAATTCCTTTAACAGTTTCCTTCTATATTCCGATATTTCTTAATGATTTAAAACATTGCATGTCTCAACATTCGTGCAATATTGTGGACCATTTCTTAAAACGAGTCATTTATCGAGCATGTACGAAGAACGAGATTAACGCGAAGTGAAATAAAAAAGATGGTTGTGAAAAGAAAATGTCATTTAACAGTACTTCAATGATGAGTTATAGGTTTCTTTATTCAGACAAGAAATGACGTATGAAATAACTTCTACTTGTTGAGCATTCTATATCCGACTATACTGCGTTGTTTAGCAAATGCTGTAAATCGACATTAACATCTTTCTTTCGTTAACTGAGACTTGTGTACATGGCTTCACCGGCGAATTTTCAACCCTTTCTGATTCTTTTAACATTGACTCTAATTTTCATTCATCCTCACAGATATTTAGCTTTGTCTCTTGATGGTAAGTCGAGTTTTCATATTAAGTTTTATCTCGGTATTGCAATTGAATGGTAGTGTTGGTGTTTGTTATTAAGCACAAAGCTACACTAAGAGCTATCTGTGCTCAGCCCACCACGGGTATCGAAATCTGGTTTATAGCAATATAAGTCCGAAGGCATACCACCTTGTCACTGGGGGGCAATTTGAATGTTATAACAATGAATTAAAAGCGCTAATTTTTTATTGGCTCATTCAATGACCTTGCAGTAGTCTTAAATGTACTGTTAATTTATCGTAATTATTTTGTTGTTGACCTGAATTTGTTTTATAACGTCCCTCTCTCTCTCTTTTCTTGTTTTTATGATGATTTTTCCCTCATCTCTGTTTTTCTTCATTTTGAAATTATCGTGTGTATAGTTTCAGCTCCTCAGTTAACCCCATTTTAACCTATGGTTGTAGTTTTTATTATCATGTGTTCTTTGATTCGTTTCCACGAACGAAATAATAACTCGTGAACCTTACAAGACCATCTGTTTCAGTGGGTCGCGGGTTTGAATCTCCGTCCCATGAAACCTGCTCGCCCTTTCAGCCGTGGGGGCGTTACAAAGTGACGTTCAGTCCCACTATGCCTTGGTAAAAGAGTAGCCCAAGAGTTGGCGTTGGGTGGTGATGACTAGCTGCCTTACCTCTAGATTTCACTGCTAAATTAGGGGCGACTAGCGCAGATAGCCATCGTGTACATTTGCGCGAAATTCAAATCAAACCAAACTGTCTGCTGTTTTCGCTGATATCACTTAATCGTTTGCTCGCCTTCTAGAAATCTCTATACCCTCGACATCAATAAATTTCACGCGACGTTCAATAGCATCAACATCAATTAATTATAAACACAACATACGATTCTTACCGAGTTACGTAACTAAACTTGTCATCACGTTTATTTTAAAATAATTGCTGTTAATTCACTTGTTATGAAAAAAAACTAAAGAATCATGAAATATTCACTCACAAAATCAATAAATTAATAACACCTACACTAAACAGTCTTTTATATCATGACACTGGTTTGACATAATTATATAACCCCCGTCTTCTTTTGTAAAGGAATAATAAATCTGCGAACTAATATACAATTTTATATTTTATTATTAAAAATGCAAAAAAAAAGAAAGAGCACAGGATTATAGAAAATTAATATAAGATGACTATTTATCTTGAACCTAAAAAAACATACTCTGTGTGAAGTTTCTTCATTTCTCTCAAAGCCTCATTATAACGCCCCTACGGCCGAAAGGGCGAGAATGTTTGGTGGGACGGGAGATTCAAACCCACGACTCCCAGATTGTGAGTCAAGCGCTCTAACCACTTGGCCATGGTGGGCACAGCAAACAGACAGAGCAGACGAGAAAGTAAAGTCACGGGAAGTAGACGTTCGGCCAAAGTCAAGTTAAACGTAAGGTTAACTGCCGAGGAGTGAAAGGCCTAACGATTTGTACGTTAGAGTAAAACTATCAGTTTTAAGAGAGATAAGAAGTATAGTTTATCCCTTAAAAGCGAGTTCTAAAGTAATTGAACCAGCCTGAGTGCACTTTGACAAAAGAAATAGTCGATATATGAAATACGAGGACCATATGATTACTGGAAGAGAAGGATACGACTGTGGTAACTCATGCTATAATTGTAAACGAATTATACACGGAATACTAGTGCGATAGAAATAGAGAAAAGTAGTTTAGCTTGTCAAGTGAAATTTTAAAGCAACTGAATAGGCCTAAGTGGACTTTTGACAAGAAGAGAGAACTATATACAATGTTTATGATATGCATATGATTTCTATAGTTTAAATAATTTGTTGTACATACGTTTAACTAGTTCGAATATATATATATATATATATATATATATTCTTTGTAAACAAGTAGGTAGCGTGCTGTTCGTTTATTTTTAGTTAATTTATTCGTACTAAAGTACACAGGCACCTACTCGTAGTAAGAATACTTACGCCG